ATACCCACCCACCATTCCAACTTCTGCCCTGTTGGTGTTTATTAATCCTAATGATCTCATCCCTTCCTTATGGAAGACTTTCTCCTTCTCCTGACCAGGCAGAGCCCTCTATGCCTGCTATGGTTTAGATCTGGAATATCCCTTAAAGCTTGGCTTCCATGACAGAACTATTAGGAAGTGGTGGAAACTTTAAGAGTAGGACTTTATGAGAGGTCTTTAGGTCATTGGGGATGTGCCTTCAAAAGAGATTTTAGGACCCAAGTCACTTCTCACTTTGTTTGTTCCTTGGCTCCCACCATGACATGCTACCTCACCACAGGCCCTAAGCAATAGGCTAACTGATCAGGGACTGGAATCTCCAAACCTGTGAGCCAACATAGACTTTTCCTCTTTATAACCTTGGATACTTTGTTACAGTGGCAGAAAGCTGACTAACACTCCCTCTTTATAGAACATATTATCATCTGTAATGACACAGATATTCATAGAGTTATTTGATGAATGACTTCTTAGTTACTTTCTCATTGCTGGGACAAAATATCCAACTCCCACAAGTTAAAGGAGAAAAGATTTAGTTTAGCTGACAGCCTGTAGTTGGCAGACTCCACAGTAGGGTGGCATGGCAGAGGGGCAAGAGTTCATGGCATGGCAGGCAGGAAGCAGTGAGACTTGATTCTTCTTTCCCTTTTTATTCCATCTAGGCTACAAGCCTATTGGTTGGTTCCACCCACATGCAGGGTGGGTCTTCCTTCTTCAATAAGTCCTTCACCCACACCCAGAACTGTGCAAAACCAATTAGTGGACTAATCTACAGCCACAAACTGGTATCACACACCCATGATCCAGTCATTCCCAAAAGCCCCATGAGGACATGAGGCTTTGGGGTACATCTAGATATAAACCATAACAACTTCCTCCTCCCAGGGTTGTATAATTCTCATAAGACAGAAATAGTATCTGTTTTGATCCATCTGTTTTCAATGCCTAATATCTGGAACCTAGTGAGCTATCAATAAGTAGCTATTGAATGAATGAATGAATGAATGAGCAGCCTCAGGCCCCTGGTCCCTTTGGCTCTTTATTCACTTCATCACAACTAAGGTCTCTCTCAGCTCTTTTGTCTATTTCTCTGCCCTTCAAACTTTTCCTTCTACTAATTCTTCATTAACTGTCGTTTTATGCAGCAAATGGCCACATGTAAGTATTTATTGTGCTGATTAAATGTCGTTCTTTGTTCTGTGAAACAAATTGAGTTGATTTTATAATTTGCATATCCTTCTAATGATGTTGCCAGGAATGAAAAATAGTCAAATATAATGAGCTGTCTATGCTGGATGGACGCCTGGCTCTGCCTAAAGGCAGACACTGGACCAGGTGGCCTAGGGCTGGGAGTCAAAGTCGGCGGCCAACAGTCATCCAACCCCAGCCCAAGGGCACATAGTTCTGGGCCCCACAGCAAGGATAGCCAGTCACTCTCTGGTTCTGCCCAGAGCTGGCTCCTTCTCAACCTGCCCTCTTGGCGCCCCCTTTACAGAAACTCAGAGACTGAAGTCCCAATTCAGAAAGCAGAGTGCAGACCTGGGGTGAGCTGGGGTCTTCAAGGGCACCGTAGAGTTGTCTGTCTCCTCACTCCTTGTCACAGGAGAGAATTAAAGTGTCTCTGTGACACTAGTGAGTCACTCTTCATCAGATATGTTACTTGCACTTGAAAGTACTCCCAATTCTTTTTTTTTTTAACCACAGATATTAGTCAGCTCAGGCTGCTATAACAAAGTAAGACAGACTGGGAAGCATAAACAACAGAAAGGTTTGGCTTTGGATTGGGTTTTTAGGTAAGGTTTCACTATGTTGCTCAGGCTGGTCTTGAACTCCTAGGGTCAAGTGATCCTCTGACCTCAGCCTCCTGAGAGTCAGGACTTTAGGCATTTGCTACTATGCGGAGCTTCAACAACAGAAATTTATTGTCTCACAGTTCTGGAGGAAAGAAACCCAAGATCAAAGTATCAGCAGGGTGAGTTTCCTCTGAGATCCATGAGGGAAAGATTTGCCCAGGGCCTCTCTCCTTGGTTCCTACATGGTGCCTTCTCCTGTAGACATCTTCACATAGTCTTCCTTCTGGTGTGTCTCTGTCCAGATTCTCTCTCTCTCTCTCTTTTTTTTTCTTTGTGGTATTGGGTATTGAACCCCGGGCCTTCACACTGGGCTACATCCCCAGCCCCTTTTGTATTTTTTTAAATTATGAGACTGGGTCTTGCTAAGTCACTGAGTTGCCCAAGCAGAGCTTGAACTTATAATCCTCAGCTTTCCAGAGTTCTGGGATCCAGATTTTTTCTTCTTAGGAAGACCCAGGTCATACTGGATCAGGGCCCATGCTAATGTCCTCATTCTAATTTAATTATCTTTTAAAGACTCAGGAGGATTGGGCTGAGCCCAGAGCCATGCATCACATGCCTAGGGTCTCATGGTGGCATGGTGGCCATGGAGATGCCTCTCTTGTCTCCTTTTAAGAGAGACCCTATAGGTGGGCAGTGGAAAGCACAGCCCCTCTCCACCTCTATCTCCTGCAGCAGAACACAGAGAGGCTGCAAGAACCAAGCAGTACTCTGTTCTGCTTCTAAAGCTGGCAGAAAGCCACCTGGTACCTGAGAAGTTAGGCGGATTCGAAGAGAGAGTGGCAAGAGCCCCCAACCCCTGATCTGGCCCATTCTGACCATGCCCATGGGTGTCTGAGTACCAGGCCCACCACACCCTGATGTTTGCCTGTAAGGACCTACCACCCTCTGAAGGGGCTGTGGAAGCTGGCTGGTGGCTGCCACTATATCCAGGGCTAATTAATTTGGCCAGTAGAGGAGAGAAAGGTTTAGGGTCTGGAAATGGCCCTGTGGTTCAACAGCACAAAGCACAGCTGTTTATTTTCCTTGGGTCTCCCTCCTGGCCCTCTCTCCTGTGGCTGCTCCAATCTGCAAGGCAGAGGTATGACAGGGCCTGGTGAAGTCTCTCAAGGGGTGATGGAGAGCAGGCAAGGGGAAACTGCCCACTCTGGCACCCACATGTGGATTCAGAGCCAGGTTGGGCGACTCAAAGCCGGGGCTTCACTTGTCTTATGGATAGAAGCAGTCAATCCACTCAGAATGCTCCACCAGACCCCCAATACCCATTGCCTGCTCACCCTTCCAGACATATTTCCAAAGGTGAGCACTGGCACTCAAGCCCAGCCCTGCTCCTCCTTCAGTGAGAGGACTCCCAGCGAAGAGCACATTCTTGATGTCTTCACAGATGAGAGCAGCAACCCATGAGAAATGGGTCTGTGTGACAAAATGTACAAAGTGTAAGACTCTGTGTGTGTTTGCAATCATTGTCGCCAGGTGCCAGGGAACAACACAATGCAAAGGCTCTGGAACCAGTTGGATCTAGTTCTGCTCCTTCAAATTTTTAACCTCTGAGCTGTGGATGCTTCATTGGGAAAATGAGGATAATAATGCATCCCAAGTTTGTTGCTAGGATTAAATGAGATAGAGAAACAAAGCCCTGATCAAGATGGTACCTGGTCAACACTCAATAGGTTTATTAATGTTCATGAGGAGTGGGGAGTCGAAGATACAGGGCAGCCCCATAGACAGGAGCTGCCAGTTCCCTTGACACAATTGGGTCCCATTGGCAATTTGCATTCCTGAATACTAGTCTCACGACAATAGTGACCTGACATCTTTGAAGAATTTCTATAAACAGACTTCTCTTACATGCATACCCTTGTATGCCCACGTGCATAAGCTTACACATTTGGGCATATGAATGAACACTGTAAATCACTCTCCTATAAGTGTTACACATCCAGGCCATGCATACACAGCGCACACACACACACACACACACACACACACACACACGGTCCTCATGGGACCCACCTAAGTAACCAACATGCCACATGAAGAAGCCACAGTGAAGGCACAGGACACTCTGTGCTTCCTCTTCAGCGTCAGAGTGAGGGTCAGATGGCTGGAGAGCTGGCCATGGAGGGAGTCCTGTGCTCCTGTCCCTGCCACCATCCATTTAACCCAAGAGCCCTCCTACTCTCTCAGGGTGAGTGCAGACACTTGCTCTGGCCTGGTGACTCGCAGAGGCTCCTGCTGTGCCACTACCACTGTAGAGAGGGTCAGGTAACCAGGTCCCCATAGGAGAAACGAAGCCAGAGGAGAGACCCAGCAGTGGAAGTCAATTGGCTTTCCTTCTAAAAAGAGTGTTCAAACCTTAGTGGGCTAGGGGCCTGGCTCCTGTGGGTCTCACCTACGAAAACTTAGAGACAGAAAGAAGGGAATTTATACCAATGCTATCATGACTGATAAAACTGCATGTCATAAAAATACACTGCAATTGTTCAGTTGTACACTGCAAAGGGTGCATTTTATTGTACATGAATTACACCTCCACTGAGCTGTTTGCTTTTACCTCTCTTACCCCACACTCTTGGGTTACGCACTCAGCAAGGTTTTAATGTGTATTGTTATGTTAAGCCTGCCCCCAAACCCACTCCGTAAGTGAGGAAAGGAGACTGGAGGCTTGGCTGGAAGTTAGGCAGCTAGTAAAGGTTGGAGGTGGTCTCAGGCCCAACTTAGCAAGACTGGCAGGCTGGGCCATGCCTTGTTTTACCTATGCAGTGGCTATTCTTTCTTTAGGTCCACCAAACAAACAAACAAACAAACAAAAAACTGATGCTCAGTACCTAACGTGACTGGTGGTTCCTAAACTCTACTTTTCAGCAGCAGCATGACCAGGATGCTTATTAAAATGCTTTGGGAGCCTGGTGTCCGGTCTTGCCTCAGTGGGCAGGGCAGGCACTTGCCTTCTGGTCACTGGCTTAGCAGGCGACCCCTGAGGGCAGAGCTCGGGCTGCAGGAGGGAGGGAGCATTCGGGCGCCTGTGCACCCGCGCAGGGCTGGGCTGAGTCATAGTGAATTTGTGCTCGGGTATTAATAGAAACATAAAACCCCGGATCAGCCATTTCTTCCCCCTCTGGACGAGCCTGGACGACACGGGAGTGCTCTTCTGCAACTCTGACCTCTACAGCATATTAAACAAGAGGCGGATGGGTCACATGGACACCTCATTAATTCGCCTTCCCCGAAAGGAGGACAGACGGTGAGGGAACCACAGGGCGCAGATCTCTTCAGCCGCAATGCCCTCAAGGTTAACTGGTGGCCGCAGTGGAGAACGCGGGGGAGGAGCGAGGGTCCCCAGGGACTGGGCCTCCGTGAATGGTTAAATTAGCGCGTCCTTTGTTTGCCTGTCAATAGGTGCTTCCAGGAGAGCCCGGACGAGGTGGGGGGGTGGGGGCTGAGGAACTTTGTTTGACCAAAGCGTTTAAGCAATCCTGTTTGCACTTTTCGTTTGCTCAGCAAACCTGCCCCTCGGAAATAGCTTTGGGGTAAACTTGGGCCCAGCTGAGCCGAGATTGCCACACAGCCCGCGGGTCCGCAGGGCTGCTTTTGGCCCTCCCGAGCCTGAGCAGGAGCTCCGAATGTACACAATGCCCAGTGTGAGGCTCACACACACAAATAACATCCCACCTGACCTCATCTTGCTGGGCAAGTGGGAAACCTCCTAGTTCAAGTTCATGCTGTCTTCTAGCTGAGTACCCGACTTTTCAAAGGTCAAGCAGCTGCAAGGCTGTCTCTGCACTCAGGAGGACGGCTCTCCTCCCTCTCCATTTGCCAGGCTGCTGTGAAGACATGCCAACTTGGGATGTTGCATTGGATCATCATGCTTGCAACACATGCTGCTAAAAAGGGTGTTCACACCTTGGGGTTTGTGTGACTGGGAGCCCCTTCCTGCACCTAAGCCAGGAAGAGGCGTTGTTTTAGGCCACGCTGCTGGGTCACCTGTTCCAATGTTGCTGCCACCAGGTCTACCTGTGACCTCTGCCAGCCACGCCCAGCTCTCTTTCGGCCCCCTTCCACACATGAGGACCTAGAAGCCCCACAGTGTCAGCCCAGGCCCCTTGAGTCCTTTCTGAACCTGCAGCACTGTCAGTTTGACTCTGAAAACAGATCCCAGTTTTGCAGGTTAACTCCAGAAGTGGAGGCAGGCACCTTGGTGTTCCCTTTGACGTTCCCTGAGATTCTGTTTCTCCTGGGGTCCAGCCTGGCACCAGTGGAACCTAGGACCACCCTCAGCATGTCTTCTCCCTCCTGAAGGCCTTCTGTGAGGCTGAAGCTCGCTCAACTTATCAGACTGTGTCCTTTCTACCCTATACCAGTTTAGAGTAATCCCACATTTGGACTTTGGGAACTGCACTTGATTTATAAAGAGTAACACATAGAATGTAGGAAACCTAGTCTCCTTCTGGAAAGCATGGTTTATAGGTATAGGTAAAGCATTTGCATAGCATTTGTGAGGCCTGGTTACAACCCCAGCATTGCAAAGACAAAGAAACAACGCTTTGAAGTGAGGATGGGGCCCCTAACTTGACTCCCAGCTCACTCTCTCTTTGGGTCTAATTACAGCCCTAGTCTTCCCCTAGGCACTGGGGGCCTCTGGCAGAGAGCAGAAATGTCACTTACATGTGGAAAGAAAACAAAACAAAATAACAGGTAGGTACCTTCCTACAATTCTAAATGCATTATTTTGATAAATGTGTGAATCTGCCCTGAGGTTGGGGGATCCTGCTAAGCGCACCAGGTAGAATACAGGAGTGTATGAAGGTGGCTCCCACCCACCCCGAGGATCTCCTAGCATCCCTGGAGGAAGGGAGAAGAGCCCTTGCCACTTTTCTCGGTGAGTGGCCAAGTTCCTCTAGGGCAGGTCTAATGCCCAGCTAGAAGGCATTGGCCTTGATAGCAGGAGCTTGCCCCCAACTTCCTCTTCCCAGCAAGCTTCTGTGAGAACAGTAGTGTGGAGGCTGATGGACACTATCCCTGGGAAGAAGGGACAGAAAGGGATTCTCTCCCAAGCATGGGTTTCTGATAGGTAGAAGGATAAAGACCACAAGGATAAATGTGACAAGAGAGGAAGGCTGAGCTCCTGGGCTTCTCAAGTTCTACCTACTGCCCCATTCCCCTGTGGGATTTTAAGAGAGGATGGGCAAAGTAAGAGAGGGGGTAAGGGCCTGAGACTGATAGACCTTAGAATCCCCGGTGCTTGTCCCCTCCTACCTCAATTTCCCTACTGTGGAGTGGCCATCAAGCTGTAGTCAAAGGGAGGGTGTGAGAGCCCTGAGACTGAAACACATCACAGGAAACAAAAAGCAATCTTTTTCTTGCTGTTGGCAAGGGTGGCTTGCAGGAAGGTCAAGATAAAACCCACACAGGGGGAGGAGGGAGTTGAGGAGTGTTTTGTTTGGCACGGCCAACTGGCCAAGTTGCCTCGGTAGCTGAGAACATCAGCTCTGGTCACGCTTGCCTCAGCTCCAATCCTATTACTCCATGTGGTTGGGCTCCGAAAATAGCCCCTGTCAGCCACATCATTACAGTTCAGCGTTTCCACCACTGGCCACTTATTGTTCAGTGGACACAGTCATTGTTAACCCCTCTTCTGCCAGCCAGCCAGGGCACCTGGGCTGAGAGTCTACCTTTTACTTTTAGGCCAAACGGGGAGAGCCAACAGGCAATATGTGGACAGAGCTCTGACCCTGTCCCAGACATCTATCATTTCCTTTTGACTCTTGTATGCAACTGCCCTGCACGTTTCGAGGGTTATCTGCATTTGGTGGAGAAGGAAAGCCAGCCCCAAGGTGTGAAATGAGTTACTCAAGGTCATCAGCCAGTGTGTGGCTGAGCCCAGGCTGTCTGATTCCAAGGCTGGGCTTTGTCACCATGTCCTGAAACCACTGCTTTTTTTTTTATCCAGCAGAGGTAGTGGCTTCTCCCCACTCCCCTCCTCCAGCCTCTGTGGGTAAAATACCTGGCCTGTAAGCACAGTGGCCTGGCTCTTGCTGGCCCCATGGTCATATAGATGTTTGAGTAAAACCTAGATTGCAGGGCTCTGCCTCAGACAACCTGATTCAGTAACCCAAGGGCAGTCTCCAGGAACCTTTATTTCCAACCAGTCCTGCACAGGACTCTGATCACAGGAGCTACACCAGCTCTGAGATTCTGCAGTTCCACAGGGAAGAAAAGAAAACTGACCTTTATGGAGCCCAGCTCAGCATCTGGCACATTAGCTTAGGCCAGTCTGAGTCTCTTCACCACAAGTCAGTGTAGTGGATGAGAAAATGGTGCTTTCCTCCACTGCAGAAGATTGTCTCTTGAAAGAAGACAGCCAATCATTTTTACAGCAAAGACCAGGCTAAAAAATGGAAGAGTGAATGACAGACCTGGGTGTGGCATAGATCCCCAGTAGGGAGGCAGCTAGGTCAGTGGCTTCGAGCGCAGGCTTTAGGATCAGGCAGAGGCAAAGTTTCTGGGAGCTGGAATGAGGTGTTGTGGGTCACAGGGTTGGCACAGAGCCCAGTGCTAATGATAATACTGAAATATGCCGAGGCCTCAAGATGTGCAGATCAGTCTTGGGAACCTGTTATTTATGAACTCATTTAGACTGTGAGGCAGATTCCCTTATCATCTGCATTCTATAGGGGAGAATCAGAGGATCTGAGAAGTCATTTGATACTTAGAGTAGCATAAAAAAACCAAGCATCTGCTTTCAAGCTTTTGTCTGGTTATCCTTAGGTATAACCACCAGGGACAGAAAAATCCTCGTCTGATTGCTGGAGATCCCTGACCTGCCACTCAGGCTACCCTGGTTTCTCTATCTGCTCTGCAGGAACCCTTCTGGCCCTGATACACTGGACAATATCCCTGTTGCCGCTTCCTGCACCGCCACACTGGTTCCTGTATGCCAGGTCCCCAGGCTCCCAGGCTACAACATGCCCATTTTCCTGGAAACATGATGAGCTGCTGCCTGGTAGGCCGCAGACCTCTGCCCAAGCATACCTCAGGATGGTCCCTTTCAGTGGCTTGGACTGCAACTTCCAAACCCTGGCCATGCTTTGATTCTATCCCGGGCAGTCTTTGCTTGTGTGTTGTTGTCATTAGAATCAATCTGCTGGGAGAACTCAGGGTGAAGAAATCAAGGGCTCTGGTTCCTGTTTTGTGACCCTGAAACCGACAATGAAGGATGTGGTGGCTTTGAACAGTCTCTGCCCTTTGAGAAGCTTGAAGTCTGTTGAGCTCCTAAACATCTCAGTGGTTTGTAGCAACAATGTGAGAAAGTCTCTATAGGGCTTAATAATTTGAAGTTTGGTGCCTTCTGTGCAGTGCTCAGGTTGGTTTTAGGATGAAATAATGACATCTGTGGAGGCCCTAGCAGAGCATATTGAGTCACTGTAGCCTTGGACAGCTTCTCTTTGTCCTTCTAGACTTTCTTCCCTCTACCCTTGTCCTATGCTGAGTCAGAAAGGACCACATCAATAGGCCCAGGGCCAGAGGTGTCAGTCAGTGGGTACCTCAGGAGGACAGAGGGGTGACTACCATCTATTGAGCTGAGTTTCCTGCCCATCAGGAGGCCCCCTTCTCTTGGCCCTCTAGCTGAGATCTGGTCCCCTGTGTTCTCTTCTCTTTAGGTCTAGAGGTGCAACTGAGCCTTCTTGGTGTCTTAAGTTTGTAAGGCTTAAGAGCTTAAGTTTGTAAATTGTCCTTTTATTAAACTCTCAAATCCCTACCTTGAGTGTGTCATCTGTTTTCTCCTGTTATCCACACTGGTATAGAAGATAAAAATACACAAAACCAAACAAATAAAAACCCCTGTTTATGTGGACTGGAGCTCAGTTCTCTGATGGCAGCTACTTGTGCAAGGCCACCATGAGTCAGTGGTCCCCCTGTAGGAGCCTGGGCTCCACCTCCTGCTTCCTGTGTCCTTCTCTCCTCACACTCCAGAACCCCAGATCCTGAGGCCTCACTGGACTTGTAAAGGGCTCAGTGTACCCCGAAGGGCGCTGGGTCCCAGGAGACCTGGGGTAAAGGGCTATCCCTCACTGCAGGCCAGCTGGTCCCATCCTGGCCTGAGACTGATGGCCAATGTGAGGACCACTTGTCTCCATCAGACTGCCGAGGGGGCTTCTGTAGGGCATAGCCACTTTGACTCAGAGTTTTCAGCTCAATTCATCCCATCTTTGGGATCTGGCTCTTCCATCCCTTCTACCATTGATCAGTGGGCTGGCTGAGGGCACAGATTGCCCTGCATCCCTTCTCTCTGTCCCCCATATATGGGATAATAAAGCTCCTCACCCTGAAAATAATGTCCTATATCCCCCTCAGCTACAGCTGATTGCTCCAAAACTTCACTGTTAGCAACCGTGTGGCTTAGCCTCGGGCTCTGATCACACTTAACATGTAAATGGGTGTGTTAGTGAATTGGCACTACTGTGCAAATGAGTGTATCAGAGCTCCACCTGAGAAAATCTCCTGTTAAAGGAAGAGTGAATGAGTCACAGGTTTCCAGCTCAAATTGCTCAGGCTTTAAAAGGCTGTAAGGCTCATTTAGCTGAGAAGCCAAGCTATCACTCTGAGGCATATGACTTGCCCATCTCTTGGTTCTGTTGCTTTATTTACGGGGTTTCCCCAAGGTCTAAGAAGACCAAACACCTCCAGCTCCAGGCTTACTTCCCACTTGCTGCTTGGGCTTTTTCCCTGAGACAGAAGAGGTCCTTATCACAATCCCCTATAACACCACCACAACCACCACCACACCACACACACACACACACACACACACACACACACACACAAGCATTCTGAGCAAAGGAAATGGATTGGCCTCATGCACCACCCCTTAGCAATGGATCAGCAGCATCCCCCACCCCCTGCACTGATAGTGGGGCCCACTGCCCCAAAGAAGGACCAGGGGCTATTTCCTATGACTGCCAGAGAGAAGGAAGAGAACAGGGGGAGCCCTTGGTGCGGAAGGAGGGAGAGTAGATGTCAGGAAGCTCAGGAGAGGAGCAGGCAAAATGCTTCTCGCCATCCTGCCTTGGCTCAACTCTCTGTTGTTTGACCATGAGGATACCACACAGGGGCTCAGGTATGACAGACGCCCCTGGACTTGTGATTGGGGTTGCATGCAGATAGATCCAGGGGAAGCTAAAAACACCATTAAGTGAAAAATGTATTTAATACACCTGACCTACCAAACATCACAGCTCAGCCTAACCTGCCTTCAACATGTGCAGATACTTCCATTTGCCGACAGCTGGATGAAATCAGCTAAGATTCGGCTTATCGTAGAATGCAGTGTTTTATCTCTCATGGGATTTATTGACTACTGTTCTGAAGGTGGAAAGTAGAAAGGTTATTCTATATCACTACCCTGGGAAAAGATCAAAATTCTATGTATGGTTTTTACTGAATGTGAATCATTTTTGCCCCATTTTAAAGTCAAAAATCATAAGTTAAACCATTGTCTATCCCCTCCATTAAATAGAAAGTTCCTCCAGGCCAAGAAATCGTTATTAGTTACAGCAACAACCTTCCAGATCAACTCAGTACAGGAAATTGATTTCTCCCTCACACAAAGCTCAACACAGATGATCTCTGTTCCCCAAATATAGGACAGTAAATCTCCCCACCCTGAAAATAATGCCCAGTAGCACCCTCAGCTCCTGTGGATTGCTCCAAAAATTCACTGCTAGCTGTTGTGTGGCTTAGCCTCGCGCTCTGATCCCACTTAACATGCAAATGGGTGTGTTAGTGAATTGGCACTATGCAAATGAGTTTATCAGAGCTCAAAAAGCGCTGAGGCTCACTTAGCTGAGGTAACCTCCTTTCCAGGGGATTATTCCAAGGGCCTTGGAGCAGCACCTTTCAATAGAATGTTCTGTGATTTCTGTGCACATGTGGCTATCAAACATTACAAATGTGACAGAAGAGCTGGGTTTTAAATTTTACTTGATTTCACCAATCTAGGTAGCTGCCTGCATCCAGTGGCTGCCATCTTGGATAGCATGGCCTTGACACTGTCCACCAGATCCTCTGATTCTGGATGGAAGCCATAGAAAAAGAGGCCACAGAGGAAGAATCATCAATCAGGTTTGGTAAGTGGTGTACATCTCTTTTGCTTATGCCCCATTGGCCAAAACTGTCCCCTTGACCTCATCTAACTGCAGTGCATGCCAAGAGCTATAGCTCTCAAAGTGCACCTGGATAGAGGTGGGAACAAGCTTTGGTAAGACAGCAGCAGGCTTTGCCACACATTGTGCAGATTCACCTTCATGCTTCTCAGACCTGGATGGAGGTGCCTAGCAGGAGACTGGCACTCAGGAAGGGCAGACCTGAATATGAAAGAGAGCTGTATATTCATATGAATATGGATGAAGCAAACAGAAGTGTCTAGAAGAATCTCAGTAGATCCATTCTCTGTTCCAAGCCACTCCTTTCCTAGGAGCTGCTGGCAGGTCCAAGCTGCCTCCTGACCTCAGCTTCTCCTGTCAAGACCCAAAATACAGGGCAAAATGCAAAACTTTAAACAACAGGAAAACAGTATCTATCTAAACAGCTAGCAATGACCCCATGAGCAGATAAGCAGAGTGCAAAGTGCAAGGGCTATGCCAAAATCCCTAACAAGTGGACTGGTAGGCATTCCTCCAAGCAGTGGCCCTGAGGTCAGGGACAGAGCTGGGGGGGATCCCCTCCTCTGACTCCATGTACAAACCCACCACGCAGCAAGAGGATTGTAGACCACACCCTGGGGTCTCTGTGAGAGATAGAGACTGCTGCGAAAGGATCCCAGGGGTGGGGAAGGGGTGGACAGGATGCACTGGCTAGTGGTCAGGGTGCGGATTGCTGCCCCACCTCTACCTCTACCTGTTGTGGGCAACCCCTCCCTGCTCTGAGCTTTTGGAGCCTCTAGGACAGTGAGAGGTCTGGACCTAATCCCTCTGGGATTGACTTGCATCTCTGCTCCACCCAATTGACAGACTTCAACAAGGCCTTTGACCTTCAGAGGCCTTGGTTTGGCCAACTATGAAAAGAGAGGAAGGCTGCAGACCTGGTACTGCCTGAGACAGGAGGACGGAACCTGGATTTGTGTGACCAGTCATTGGTATGAGCAAGAGAGAATACCTGCCTGGTAAGCCTGGCCCATCTCACCCCTAGTGCTGAGGACCTGGGTTTGTGAAAGCCACATAAGATCAGACCCCACAGTGAGACTCAGAGCTGTTGAGGAAAGCACCCATGCCCAGCCATGAGCCAGTTCTTGGGAGGGGCCTGGGAAGCCTGACAGTTAGTGTCTACCAATGTCTATGGCATGGAACTTCCCTCTCCTACAGTGCCATGACAGTGTCAGGGTCCCCACATGGCACCACTGAGCCCAAAGTTGGAGGGAGACAGACACATTTGCAGGCCAAGCCCTGTTTATCTTGGCACCTCAGGTCTCAGAAAGGCCTGGCTGCTTTTGGGTGCTCAGTGCTCCTTGACGGATGAATGAATGTTCAGCTAATGAATGCACACACAGAGACTGGCACCTGGGAGCCCCTCTGGGAACCCCTCACATTGAGACCTTTTTCAGGGGGTGCAAATAGTAACATCAAAAGGAGAAGTTAGAGGTTAGTACCCAGTATGCTGGACTGGGTGCACCCTCACATCCAAAACCTCCCTCCTCATTATCATCACAGAGAAGGGTGAGTCTCTGGGTGTCCTGTGAGGGTTCTGCTTCATCTAGGTGCTTTGACACCCCTAGGTGGACCAGAGGAATGCACCAGAAAAACCTTATGCACCCCATGCCCTCTCCCCACCCCATAGCACATAGCATGACTCTCCTGGAGACACCTCACTCTTGATGGCCTACTCACTCCCTTCCATGGCACCAGGAAGAAGGGAAAGGGGTCTAGGTCAGAGCAATTTGGAGCAACACTAACTGGTTGTTTTAGTCAGCTTTCTTTCACTGTGATAAGATACCTGAGAAAATCAGCTTCAAAGGACAACTTATTTTGGCTCATGATTTCAGAGGTTTCAGCCCATGGATGCTTGGCCCAGTTACTTTGGCCTATGGTAGCAAAGTACATCATGGTTGGTGCTTAATTCATGGCAGACAGGAAGCAGAGATAGAGGCAAAGGGGCTGTGGTCTCAAAGTCCTCTCCAAGGAACCCCCTATGACCTAACTTCTTCCCCTAGTCCCACCCCAAAAGGTTCCACCATTTTCAGATAGTATACTGGCTGACAACCAAGGCTTTATTTATCACATGAGTCTCTGGAGGCATTCCAGATCCAAACTGCAGCAGTGGCAGAGGTCACTGTGGCCAGTGCGAAGGGCACCTGACCCTCAATCTTTCTCCTTGCCTGCTTGCCCCAGGTTAGGGGCTGCCAGTCCCTGCCATCCCAGCAGGGCACCGTGAGATTAATGAGCCTCCCACCTCTGCCTCTGCCAGCAGCTGTAGAGAGCAGCAGGCTGGGGCTTCCTGAGGTCATCTACCAGCACCAAGTACAGGATCTGTTCAGGTCAGATCCCTTGTGGGTGCACTGGGGCCCCCCAGCAGGCTTCAGCAGATGCTGTGGCTCCCACTGACTTAGTCAGGACTTTGCCAGATGGTTTTTCAGCATGGAATGAGGGCATGGGCTACCGAGTGGTCCAATTTGACCTCACTGGTGAGCTGGCACAACTGGCTCCTGCTCAGGGGCTCACCAGGGGAAGATGCCAGGACACTTGAACTTCATCCATGC